TGACTCATCAGTAGTAGACAGGGGCGGGGTCCAAGATAGGTGAGGCCTTAGATCAGTAATGCAGTAGAATACTATAGCTTATGTGTTATGAAATATGTTATGTGCTTGTATATGTTTAGCGGCCGAGTCCCAGAGACAGGCGAGGCCTAAGAGAGACAGATCTGTATACCGAGCGAGGCTCGATGCCAGGCAAGGCCTGATGCCGAGCGGGGCCCGATGTCGGAGCGAGTCCGATGCCAGGCTAGCCCCGATGCAGCAGGGGCGAGGCCCAACATGTGATTATGTGTATGGTATATGGTAGGTTGGGGAACTCACTAATCTTTGTGCTGACAATTTTCAGTTTTGGTTTCAGGTACTTCCGGCAGTGGAGGGAAGAGCTCGGGATGATCGCATGTTTCACACTATAGTTAGTCAGCATGGGATGTTTTACTCCGATAATAAGGATATGTTTGAATTAATACTCTGATCTTATGTGATGACTTATGTTATGGATTGACAATCATGGTTTACGTAATGTTTTAAAAATGAAATTTTAATCGGGGTTTTTGGGATGTTACAAGTTGGTATCACAACCTTGGTTTGCGGGATTCGGACATACTTTCAGGTGTGTCTAAACTCAAACTAAGGAATTGGTATAGAATTTTTCAAAAGGAAAATCAATTTTTGTAATAATGGATTTTTGAGAAAAGAAAAGAGTTTTAGAAAAAGCGGAAAGAACTTTGAGAAAGAAAAGAACTTTGAAAAGAGAAAAGGGTGTGGTGCATGCAATCATCCGCGCTCAAGTAAGTACCCCAAAATACCCATACAAGTTTATGTTATGATTATCAGTTGGTAGAACAGCATGCTAGATTAGGACTAAGGATCTAGGGAGGATGCCTTATGTGCATGTTATTTGTGCTTTTGAGCTGCATGATAGTATTGGTTAGATAATAGTAAGATAGCCTGTTTAGGTTATGAGATTATGTCGCTTGCTAGTGCAAATTCTTGCTATGTGAATATGATTTCTTGATTATGTGATGGTAAGATTTTCTTTTGTCTGAACGCTGCTTGCTTTGTGCTTTGTGGGACTTTTAGTAATGTAAGCTAACTATTAAGTGAATATGCTAAGTCACATGTGGCACAGGCTGGATAATCTCAGAGTGATAGATTTGACCCTATTGCACAACTCTTCTTTGAGTCTAACCGTTCTAGGGATGGGTCTTTTACTCGAAGGATTATCTTATCTCTATTGCATGTGGCTATATTCATGAGGTAACTAGTTGACATTGCTAGAAATCTTTCAGCAACTGAGGACTAGGTGGGTCGGAGAATTCCCTAGGGTAAGCCTAGGATGAGTTAGTGTTGGGAGCAGTAATAGTAGTAGAAGGGACCTGATGGAGTCGAAGCAGTTCTTGAGGAAAGTATGGATAGATGTGGAAGGTAGTATGGTCCCGTACTACTAAAAGCTGAGGATCCGTACTCGATTCAAGAAGGGCTGAGATGAGATCGCAAAACTTTTAGTGTATGTATGGTCCCTCAGCAGTGATGTGTGTTTTGATAGTTATTGTGTTATGTTTTCAACATGGTGACATTGCGTGAGAGACCAGTGGGCAGATCAGGCGTCGGAGAGGGATCAGGCTCGGGTTCTGGGACCGAGCAGCTCGAGGAGAGGATGAGAGAGTTTGTATCAGCTGAGGTCACGCGTAGTATCTTAGACCAGACTCCTATGATCTTTGGCACAGTCAAGGAGGGTATACTAGAGATTTTGGACGAGAGGCTTGGAGCCTTTCTCACAAAGATGATGGCTTTGGTAGGAGCACATACTTTGACATTCTAAGAGTTTAGAGCTTGCGGAGCACCAGATTATCATGGGGCTAAGGACCCCATTGCTAGCAGCAGGTGGTTGGCAGATGTTGCCAATGCTTTCCGTACGATTCGGTATCCCGAGGGGGACAATGTCAGATTCGGATCCTGTCTTTTAAAGGATAGAGCGTGGGATTGGTGGGAGGAGGTTAGTCATGCCTTGGGAGAGGATGCCGTGTTGGACGCGATGACATGGAGTGATTTCTCGGCTAGGTTCAGGACTGAGTTTGTACCAATTATTGAGGTACATCAGTTGGCACGGGAGTTCCAGGATCTTCAGCAGACGACTAAGACTGTGGCGGAGATCACCGACAAGTTCAGAAAGAGGGATCTTCTTGTTCCACAGTATGTCGCAGATGAGGAGATGAAGAAGGCCCGATATCATGAGATGCTGAGAAGTGACATCAGGCAGTTTGTGAGCATGTACAGCTGTAAAATGTTGGAGGATATGATTGCATGGGCTAGAGAGAGGGAAATTAACCTGGAGCAGATCAGGAAGAGGAAGTTAGATGAGATTTAGTTAGCCACGGGTCCAGGCAAGAGACCCAAGGGGTCAGATTCGAGATCGAGGGATTGAGATAGCCCTGTCAAAAATACCCGTTACCCGAATTACCCGCTCGATTTTTTCGGGTATCGGGTAATTCGGGTAGGGTAATTCAGGTATCGGGTTAATTTTTTCAGGTAATTGGGTAACCCAATTTTTTTTTCAGGTCGGGTAAAGGGTAAGTGTATTGGGTTTCGGGTATACCCGAATTACCCGAAATATATATATAACGTCTCAAATTCCCAAATCACAGCCTAATTTAATTTACCTCGTTCTTTTTCTCTACATAAAAAAAAACCCTTTCTGCCTCTTCGTTCGTCACCGTTGAATCGTCGATCAACCTCAGGTTTTGGTCGCCACCTCCTCGCCGGTCTTCAGGTGGTCATCGGCTCGGCGCCACCTCGCCGGTCATCAAGTTTCCGTCGGCTCGTCGCAGCGTGACTTCAGCTCGTCACTAGTCCAAGAAAAAATCACGGATTTGAACTTCAAACTCAAATGTAAGTAATAACAACCAATTGATTCTCTTTTTGACATAGAAAATTAGCAAACTAGTGCAACTTTGAATGAGGTTCTTGTCGATTTAAAGAAAATTAGCAAACTAGTTTTAGCTTTCATTCGGTTATATTAGATTTCCAAATCTGATGATACTCTTTTGAACTTTGCGTTGCGTTGGGTGATGCAAAAGGTTTAAATTTATTTTGTGGACATATTGATAAGTTATAAGAAACCGATAAGTTAGAAGAAACCTCTTCCATTTGTGTCTCTATGGCCATGAAGAATCTCCAAAGGAACAATAAGAGGATTCTGATTCAGATCTGAATAGACCATGCCATGGAAAACATATGCTGTGGAAAGCCACATTTGTTATGTCTTTATTGTGAGATCTGAACACATTTGGAAAATTCATATGTTAATGTTAGATTATCACATGCATAAAAACAATAATATGTTAATGTGGAAAGAATTAGAAACATACCACCAGGATTATCACCATCTTTACTTCCCACAATAACATTATCACCTGTATAAAAACAATAATATAGTTTTCATTAAAAATTATTGATATAGAACAATAAACAAGGGATAGAATTAGAAACATACCACCAGGATGAATGGAGATAGAAGAGATTTCATGAAGTCCAACTTCAAGCTTTTTGATGAACTTCTTGACAACATTATTTTTTATATATTATTATGTCTAGATACATAATAATATATAAAATGATCTTGTTTTGGTTAATAAACTATGTAAATATTGAGAAATGAAGTTTGTGCACTAGTTAGGCCCTTATGTCATTCATGCATGAACTATTGTATGCTTAATCATGAACTATTGTAGAAAAGAAAACAATTTTTGAGTTGCATATAGAAGAAAAATTGTCGTTAATTTAGAAAAAAAATAATGAAATATTTAACAAGTAATTATTAGGGTATTTTTGTTGTTTTTTTATGTTTTATTTCCTGTTTTTTTCCTTTTTTTTTTTTGTTGTTTTTTTATGTTTTTTTTCCTATTTTTTTTAATGTTTCTTAACAGTTTTTCTGTTTTTTTTCTTATTTTAGATGTCAAAAACGGATGACTATATTGAAGTGGAAGACGATACGATTGAAGTTGACAACCCAACAAATGATCAAGTTCCACAAGAAAAAGAGAAAAAAACTAAAGAATTCAACCCAAGATCGAAATTTTGGAATGAATTTGAAAGGTATAAGGACGAAAACGGTGTTCAAAGATGCAAATGTAAGCATTGTGGTGGTGGGAATTATAAGTGTGAATCGGGTAGTTATGGGACCAAAAATCTAGGTTATCATTTAAATAAATGTAACGTTTACTTGGCTACACTTAATGGTGGGCAAAAACAACTAACTTTCCAATATGGTGATGAAAACAAATTGTTGGCTTGGAAATTTGATCAAAAGGAGAGTCGGAAAGCTCTAGCCCACATGTTGGTAGTTGACGAACTTCCTTTTAGCTTTGTAGAAGGTGCGGGTTTTAGGTATTACAATAGTGTTAATCAACCATTGTTTAAAGTTCCATGTAGAAGTACAAGTTGTAGAGGAAAAAGAAAAAATTCGTGACTTTATTAAAAAAATGTTGGTAGAATATGTTTGACCACCGATACGTGGACTTCTAAACAACAATCATGTTATATGTGTCTCACTGCTCACTTTATTGATAACGAATGGAAATTAAAAAAAAAAGTGTTGAGTTTTTCTTCTCAAGAGAGTCATCGTGGGGTTGATATTGGGAAAATGGTTGAGAAATGTTTAACGGAATGGGAAATAGAAAACGTTTTCACAATTTCTGTTGACAATGCAAGTGCGAATGATGTGGCAATTGACTTCTTGAAAAAAAGTTTTCAAAACTCCAACAAGTGTCTTCTAAATGGGAAATGAATGCACATTCGATGTATTGCCCACGTTTTAAATTTAGTGGTGCAAGATGGCATAAAAAAAAGTTGATAAGGCGGTGGAGATAGTTCGATGGGCGGTTAAATGGATTAGGCAATCGCCTTCTAGAATTCATAAGTTTATCGAGTTTGCTAAGGTTGCTAATCCCGGTATAACAAAACACTTGAAGAGAGATGTGCCAACAAGATGGAACTCTACTTACCATATGTTGGAAATTGCCCAAGCTTACGAAAAAACTTTTGAGAGATATGATCTTGAAGAATTTGATTTTCGGTACGAAATTGAAAATGCGGGTTTGTCGATACCTTCATCAAGCGATTGGGAAAGGGTTAGGAATGTATGTCATTTTTTAAAACCTTTTCATGATGTTACTTTGAGGATTTCCGGGACACTTTATGTGACATCAAACACATGCATTGAAGATATATATTCCATTCGTACGCTCTTGGATGATGCTATTTTCGATTCTAGTCTTTGTGATATTGCATTGGCCATGAAAGTAAAGTTTGATAAGTATTTTGGCGACATAGAAAAAATGAATTTATTGCTCTACTTTGCTTTGATTCTTGATCCGAGGAACAAAGTAAAGTATTTGGTTATACTACTTGAGGATCGTTATGGAGAAAAGGGGGTGGAGGCCAAAAAGAAATATATCATGGATTCTATGTATGAATTATATAATGATTATATTAGAATTCATTCTCCAAGTTCTACTTCAAGTACTGCCGAGTCTACCACTTCATCATCGATACTAGGGAAACGCCAAAACTCGGATTTTATGGCACCTAATCCCCCATTAAGAAATAAACTAAGAGAAAAAATGAAGACGAACATAGTTGAATCAATTGGGGAGTTAGAAAAGTATTTGCAAGAAAGTGTTGAAGACGACTCAGAAATGTTTAGTATTCTAGATTGGTGGAAAGTGAATAGTCCAAGATTCCCGGTTCTATCATTGATGGCTAGAGATGTGTTTGCCATTCCCGTCTCAACCGTGGCTTCGGAATCCGTTTTTAGCACTAGTGGGAGGGTGTTGGATCCGTTTAGGAGTTCTTTGACTCCTAAGATTGTTGAAAGTTTAATTTGTACACAAGACTGGATTCGGGGTAGCATAAGTGACACAATTGATTATGAAAAAGATTGGGAAGAAAATCAACAAATTGACAAAGGTAATTGTTTATCGTTCATTATTTTAATTATTGTAAATTTAATATATTTTCCTTTTAATAATAACGTTATTTGACTTTTTTATATAGAATTGAGCAAGATGAAGTAGTGAATGTGCAAGAAGAACGAGTAGGTGCAAGAAGACGAGTATATTTATGAATGTCTTTTGGAACTTGAATGTTATTATTTTCGTAATATGTAATGGATTTCTATGTTTTCTAGATTGACGACGTGAGTTTTTTTGGTAAATGCAAAATATATGCATATACATTGATATCAAGTAATTTAAATGATTGACTTTGGTTGTTATTATTTCTTTTAAGTATTTGTTTTTAACATCTTATTAGATTTGATTAAATCGTTAAACGAATACTTGATATCTCAAATATTATTGAGTAAAAAATCTCAATGTTCAAAATTTGAGCACGAAATACTTAGTTCATTAAATTTATTTTTAGGTCCCATTTAAAAAAAAAAAAATCAGGTAATACCCGAATTACCCTTACCCGACCCACTACCCGAATTACCCAAACCCGAATTACCTGAATTTAGTTTGGGTAGGGTAACAAGTAAATTTTTTAACATGAATTACCCGAATTACCCGACCCGAATTACCCGAAACCCGAAAAATTTACCCGATTGACACCGCTAGATTGAGAGGTGCTCAGTTAGTGGCAGGATTGATTCAGGCCTGGTAAAAAGCTAGTTGGAGCATTAGCAGAGGTAAACGTTGGGTGACAGTAGATCAACCCTTCAAATGATAGGAAGAATCGGGAATCCTTTTCAAGCTGTGAACTATGAGGGATTAGCCGGATCAAAGTGGAGGAGAACCCTTCAAGTATCCAGGGTCGGTAGCATGATAAACGTAGAAAGGGTTAGTAATCTTCGAGTAGGAAGGAAAAGCAGCCCGAATGGTTGTTTGGGTGGAGAAGTGCAGGAGTTGGGAATTTAGGAAACTTCCTAACATCGGGTTCATGTATTTGGCATTAGTAGACGATTGGTTTGGGAAACCAAGTTAAGGATTTCCCGATAGGATGCGAGTATAGCAGGGATGTGAGACTACAAGGTAGTTGTAGCATTGATGACTGAGGGCGGGTCCTGGAAATCAGGTTGGAGGATCGCTAGCAGGACTCGGGTGAGTCAGGATGCCCTCAAAATAGTAGTCACTGATAGAGACAACATGGAGAGTGTAGTAGGACTGCGAGATAACCACAACATTCCCTAGCAGCGAGTCAGTGAGGGAAGTGATGTAAGACTGCGGGTAAGTCGTAGCATTCATTAGCAGATTAGTTGGCGGAGTGTGGGCGGAGGCCCATATCTATTAGTTGGTGGAGTTTGGGCGAGGCCCTTATCTACTAGTAAGCAAGGTAGGGATCAAGAAAGGGTAGTTCATTGAGATTAGTATGGAGTTGGCCTGCGTAGCCTAGAGAGGTGAGACCTTAGGAGAGGCCACTCCAGGATGCAGTGGGTGAGACTCGTGGACGAGGCCCATATGTTAGTAGCAGTATGGGTGAGACCTGGGAGTATGATTTCTCAGTAGTATGGTTTGTGTGAGACCCGTGGGAGAGGCCCGTGCGATAGTAGTTAGGCAAGTGAAACTAGAGGGATAGACCGCTCTAGGATATAGTCGGGTGAGACCCGTGGGCGAGGCCCTTGAGATTATAGCAGAGAAGGTGGGACCTGGTAAGGATCTTAGGGTCAAGATAGGGATCGAGGATCCCAAGACTTGTAAGGTCAGAGTGGCAGGACATATAGAGTAGTTTAGATAGCCAAAGTTTCTTCGGAGGTCGCTGGGAGCGACTAAGAGTTTGCGCTAAGAGTAGTAACCGGTGGGTAGCCGATAACCCAGTTATCAGCAGAATTATTTAGGACCACGATGGTCTCTGTCACACCCCAAAAGCAGAACGGCAGAAACGTTCTAGGGCGGAGGACGTCATGTACAATATTACAACACAGAATAATAGCAAACAAGCAAACAACATCATCCATTGCATTAATAATGCATTTTAATACAAGTGTGTTCTGTATAGTTTATAAGACACCAAAAATATGAATCAAAATAAATGATGAGTCTTGAATGTGCTCCATCTTCTCAAAAAGTTGGCCTCGATACCTATCTACTGATGACCTGAAAATACAGTTATTTTGAAGGAGTTTAGCAGCTTTAAAGCTGGTGAGTTCATAAGCATTTTAGTGTCATTGTTTGTATGAAAATGTTTGTAAGTATTTGAATGTATACGTTTGTAAATGTTTGTATCTCCTAGAAAATGCTAAATTTTATACTAAAAGTAGCCTTCTACCAAGGCATCAAATGTGTTGTATGTTTGTTCTTTGTAAAAGTGAGTATTCCTCCCAAATGTGACTATCTTTAATAAAATATAGTTTTTACATTACTGTTTATATAAGAAGATCACAAAGTAGATGTAAAGGGAAAATAATGAAGTACTGTAGTATTATGTTATAGTAACTATTGCTGTAATAACTACCTTAAACCGATTGTTAATTAAGGTATAATGTGATATAATTGTAACCATACTTGATTGACCTAGTAAAACATGACGCTCGAAGACGTCGAAATGGTATGACATTCATCACCCGTTGACCTGCAGGTCCCACTTTAGCTAGCAGCAAGGTGTAGGACAATCAGTCTAGTATAGATCTATACACGAATTCACGCTCTCCCTTCAGAAGACTCTAGTTACAAAACGAGCCATGACAGAGATGCCATGCCCCAAAGTAGTGCCTCACATTTATGTTATAGTATGTATGTATTGTATGTACTAGTGTAGTGTATGTTCTCCCTGTCTAGTATGTAGTATGATCTCTCTGATTCTCATCATAGTATGTTCTTTAGTATAGTATATAGTATGTATGTATTGTATGCACTAGTGTTGTGTATGTTCTTTCTGATTCTCATCATAGTATGTTCTTTTGTATAGTATATATTGATTCATGTATGAACTAATTCTTTGTGTGTTTCATTGTACTAGGGAATAGTAAGTGGTATACCTCTATACTATACCTATTATAGTTTACTAGAAATGCTGTTTGAATGACTTAGTAAGTTTATACACCTTTTCTACCCAAAGGTGTTGGAACTGAGGTAAAAGCTTTATATCTACACATATATACATAATATATAACTAAGGATCAAATGACACTCGGACAAACAACATGGTACTCTAAGTCCACAAACAAACAAGGAAAAGGAATTAAAGTGAGTTATCAGTCCTAAGTCCTTCAAACCTTACTTATATAACTATATATGTATTGGACATGATTTTGACATTGTATAAGTTTAAAGAATTGAAAGTAAAGATTTGGCAACTAAGAAGAAGTTTTATAAAGAGTTTAACATGTAAAAGAGTTTGATAATCATTTTGAAGTAGTTTTGTTGACAAAATAGTTAAAAGTATAGTAAATCCATTTGTTTGATAGTTATAAATCACATGTGATTGATATTATAACTATAATGATTCAACTTGTATTCCCCCCATAAAAGCATTTAAAAACATTGGAAGGTATGTACAGGAATGCTTAGTATGCTTACAAGTCAAAACAGAGCACCAAAAGCCTTACGGAACCCTAGAAAGTCTTAGTGTTCCTGTATGGAAGTGGGAAGAGCTGTCCATGGATTTTATTACCAAATTGCCGAAGACTGTTAGACAGCATGATAGCATTTGGGTAATCGTCGACCGCTTGACCAAGAGTGCACATTTTCTCGCCATGCGTGAAACAGCTCCAATGGAGAAATATGCACAAGTATACTTGGATGAAATTGTTGCAAGACATGGTGTGCCACTAAAGATCATTTCCAATCGCGATACTCGCTTCACTTCTCACTTTTGGGAGAGTATGCAACGCGAATTGGGATCTCGAGTTGCTCTCATCACTGCTTATCATCCCCAGACAGATATTCAGACGAAGAGAACAATCTAAACAGTAGAAGATATGCTTCGTGCATGTGTCTTGGAGTTCGGTGGTAACTGGGATAAATACTTACCGCTTGTCGAATTTTCGTATAATCAAAATTACAACACTTCAATCAAAATGCCACCATATGAAGCATTATATGGTCGCAAATGTCGTACGTCATTATGTTGGCGTGATGTAGGACAGAAGATCCTTAGAGGCCCTGAAATGATTCAAGACACCACCGACAAGATTCAAATCGTACGAGAAAGAATGAAAGCGGCCCAGGATCGACATAAGTCCTATACAGAAAAGAGAAAACGACCAATAGAATTCCAAGTGGGTGATTTCGTGATGCTGAAGGTATCCCCATGGAAAGGCCTTATACGATTTTGGAAGAAAGGAAAGTTGATTCCTAGATTTGTTGGTCCTTTCAAAATCATCTAGAGAATTGGAAAGCAAGCATACCGCTTAGAATTGCCTGAAGATTTGGCAGGTATTCATGATGTGTTTCATGTAAGTTATCTGCGCAAATTCTGGAGCATCTACGATGAGACAGTTCCATTATCCGAGGTGAAATTGGATAATAAGTTAAGATATGTTGAAGAGCCTGAAGAAATCATGAATGAAAGAACAACTAAGCTACACAATAAAGAAGTAGAATTGGTGCTTGTCAAGTGGAAACATCATCGAGGCCCAAACTATACTTGGGAGAATAAGAATGAGATAAAAGCAAAATATCCCCATTTATTTTAATCGATGTAATTTCGGGGATGAAACCCTCAAAAGGAGGAGGTATTTGTAACATACACGTTTTGAAATCATGTTTTGTAATGAATAAAATTGTGAAATACTATGTGAAATTGAGTGTTGAGTTCTAACAGATGGTTTTTACTAGAAATGAAGTAAAACTATGTTGAGAATCACTCAGAAAATATTGGAAGTCTTATGAGATTCTAATTAAAAGCAAAATAGTGAAATTTAGCGAAAAATAAAATTTTAAATAAGTAAAATTTTATTATTTGATGTTGTAGAGAATCTCGTTAGAAACTTGTAGGCGAAAACCTCGTCGAAATCCGAGTTATAACGAAGAAGTTATGACTAACCGAAGATCCGCGACAAAACCGGCACGAGTGTTGCGACTGATCCTTTTTATGGCCCTTCTGATTGCAATGGAAGCAAATTAGACTCGATCCCTGGGTGGTATGTGTACAATCCCGACTAAAATTCCTAGTCTTGTCGTACTTGTAGCTGCCTAAACCACCACATTTTCAAGCT